CCCTTATGCCTTTTTCTCCATGGGAAAATGGAACTCGTCTAGGATATAGCTGGATCTAGTCACCTGGCCACCCCCTACTCTAATTAGAAGATAAATATATGAATTGTGCTTAAGACTACCAGTTTCGGTAGGAAGCAAGGTTATTTACACAGGCAGCATGAAGTTGTAACTGAGAAGGAGCCGAGGAGAGCTCCAGAAGGGAAACTCCAGTTCCTGGTATATTTAAGTCAGCACAAATCACTGCCTGTCAGCCTGTTTTACAATCCAGTATTTTGGTTGTTTAGGCTTTTAACTGGAAGGTCCTTCTCATAGTGCTTTTTTTTTTTTTTTTTTTGTCAGCAGCAATTTTCAAACTCAACAGAAGGTGTATTCACCAGAGCCATATGTTAAACCTGACATGTTCCTCAAAATGTGTTCTGGGGAAAAAAAAGAAAAAAAAAAAAAGTAAATAAATAAAGGGTAGGCTCAGTGTCCTAACCCACTCTCTTTAGCTCACTTGCAAGCCCCAAGGGGAGAGAACGGTCCCTGTCAGGGAGTGGCCCTTCTTTGGGGAATTGGTAAAATCTTGCAAATCCAGCAGACTCCAGGCTGTTAATTCTCTCTTGGCTTGGCTGAATGCACGAACCTGCTGTAGCTGGGAACGAGCCACCCCCAGCTACCCCTTGCTCCCAAGGGCGGTTGCAAGTTACTGCCTTGGAAGGCTGGGTTTGTGGGAAGTGTGTTACAATCCCCYCGGGGAGCGTCTCTGGGCGGGCAGTTATCAGAATCTGTTTCCCATTAAAAACTAACCAGATTGAAACCTCATTGGAGTATTTTTGACCGAAATGCCAGTAGGCTGTACACTCTCCTTTTAGCCCTCAAACAGAAGGGATGAAGCGSTATGGAGTATCTCCTTGCCCACTGCAGTGGGCAAGGAGAAACCCAGCTAAGAGCGCAGCAATGCCCGACCGTGGCTGTGCCGTGGGGACAACCCCAATGCGGGCTGGATGAAGGGTCCCCGGCTGTCGGGGGCCCACGAGCTCTCCCTCTGTAATTCTTCCTCCTGGTATAAATTTCACGGGTGCTCTTGTTCCTGAAATACATTTTCTGAACCCTTTACGGCTTTTTTTTTTTTTTTTTTGTGTGTATTTCAAGTCAGTAAGATAAAGTCTATTGGTAACTCTTCAATATACCCAGATGAATAGAGGACAGATCAAAAGAGAAAAGGCAGGAAAAGTTAGGTAGCCTCTGAAAGCTGTAATGTGCTGATCCTCTGTTCGGATGAAGTGCACCCAGCTGCATGATATACGATAAGGTTGCTCATTTATAGAGCTTTTCTGTCAAGACTGTAAAGCACCCGTGTGACTACTGCGTGGGGTTTGAGTGCAATCTTAACATAGCATAAAGCCACAGCCTTATTGGGGTCCCTCATCAGCTCTTTGCCGGCTGCAGGACCAGCTGGTAAGAAATTGGAAACTATTCTCTGAAGTTTATCTATGTTTCTTCTGGCATTTGTCTGGGGAGGGCCGTCTCTGCAGCAATTCAGTGAAGGTGAGGCATGCTCTTTTATTTTGCACCACTGAAATCCTATCCTATAAGATCATAAAATGTGATTGCATACAAGATGTTGATGGCCTAGGGGAAGTTTTGAACAACTGGGAGTCATTATCAGGACTTTGCTGCAAAAATGATCCATGATTTGATGTCTTTTCCAACACTGTTTGCAGAAAGACCAAAGGAATTGCAGTCTTAGGAGGCACTCTCCACGAAATCCATGTGCATGCTCACAACTGTGAAGAAATGAACAGCCAACACTTTTTCTCAAAATTTGCATAGAGATTTTCTTGGGAGCCTCACGTCTTTCTAATCTTACGTAATTTCTATTTTAAATAGCCAAACACAGCTATCTGAAAACAAACTGAGAAGTTGCTACCCTTCTCGATCTTTATGTGGTCAAGCTGTTTTAGAAATACATCATTAGGGGCATGAATCCATCCATTACTAGATAAACTGGACGTCCAGTTTATCTAGTAATGTGCAGTTTTAGGATGACAGCTGAGACGCGGCATTAGCAACACCTTCCTATCATAAGTCTTCAGAATAACAAGAACCCCACGGGGGCTGCAAACCTCTTGATGTTTCGGTTGAGTAATGGGGGCAATGTCCGAGGTGACTATGAACAACCAACCTCCCTTCACTTGCGCCTCGCTCGGGTATTTTGGCTGCTTACGCTGTTTAACCTGGCTTATATGGGATTAGCCTCTCAGCTGCTTGCTAGCAAGAACCTTAAATCTCTTTCGCCAGAACTGGCCTTTCAATATAAAGATGAATGTGAGCTGAGCTCTGTGGCTGCCTCCCTCAGCTGGCTCTGGGATCTCTCAGCCCAAAGTCATGTTTCTGTTGCCCGAATAGCAGGGTGGCCAAAACAACGTGGTAGCTGCTCTCACACGCAGCTCTAATGTTTCTCTTCAGCGGAGGAGAAGAACCAAKTCGGCAGAATTGGTTAGTTAGCAAACACAGCCCAAATGCTTTGCACTGAACTCCCTGCTTCTCTGAGAAGGCTCCATGAAAATGCCCATCTCTAAAGCATGCAACTACCTCCTTGAACTTGCTATGCTTAATTAAAAATATTACTGAGATATGATTTAATAAAACTGCTYGTAAATGACAGTCAAATGCTTCTGGTTTATTAAGGTCTACTTCTATTCTTGAAGCACATCTTCACCTGGATGTCCCCCTGGGCTGCTGATGGGAACAAACATATACACTTAAAAAATATTGCAGAGAGACATAGAGGGAAACGCTGCCTTTTCTACTGATGCCTGTTACTGACAGCCTGTGTACAAAACCTTAAAAGCACTCGGGCRCTTCTTTTGTGCCCACTTTTAAGGGGTTTAATGAAACATATAGAAACTGACATTTTTAAACCTGTAGCTTTGGATGTTATTTCGTACTGTCAGTCTGTTTCTTTATTTTTATTTTTTTCCAAATCACACAGCAATAGTCTTCAACCTTTCTGCCTCAAACTTCAGTCAACAAATAATGACAGCTATTTTCAGATAATGAAATGTTTCTGTTCTTTGCCCTATTATAGCAGACGGGGAGCCGACTAACCCTGCAGTAAATATGTGGGAACGCTCCTTATGGAGCCAAGTCCGAGCTCCTTGCAGGACGCACAAGCACAATTAGCAAGTGCCTCACATCCTCGCGCTGAAACCTGCTTCAGGCTGCGAGCTTTTGTTAAACTGCGCTGCAAGATTAAAACAAAAGCTCAGGTCACTCCTGGGAGCGCATGTCTCTCTATATTCCTGACCCAACTGGTTCTAGTGTCAGTTAATGACCATTCCTGTTCTCTAACACCATGCAAAGTCAGGTACATTTCTAAAAGTTGGGGTGGATTCAGGGGATATAGAAATCAGTTCCTTCAGAAAATAAATTGGACGCTACATCGTATTTCATGAATCTGTGCAATTTGCTTTGCTTTTGAAAGAAGTGTAGGACTTCTCTGTGGCTTTTTATTTTCCTCCCTATGGAAAATAGGGCACCGATCCTGCAAATCGTTCCATATGCTCTTAACTTGATGTACAGCATGTATTCCCATAGACTCCAGAGGACTAAGTGCCATGGATAAACACATCTGTGGCTGCTTACAAGATCGCAACTAAAGAGCTTCAAAAGAAAAGGAAAGTGAACGGAGGCAGTTTTTGAAGTATGCAGCAAAGTAAGAGGCGCGGGATGCTCTGGGGCTCGGATGCAGCTCCCCGCTGCGCCGGCGGGTCCCGCATCCCCGGGTCCCCACGGGCGCCTCGGGCTGCGGGACGGCGGCCGGGCCGAGTTCCCGGCGGGAATCCCGGCGGGACGTGGCTCCCCGGGAATGCCGGGGCAGGTGCCGGCCGCAGAGCCGGGAGCGCGGCGGGCGCGTCCCGCGGGGCCGAGGCGGGAGCGCGGGCAGGTCCCGCGCGGCTCCGCGCTGCACGTCGCGGCCAGCGGCGGCTCTTGTCCTTTCCCGTCCTGTCTCCCTGTCCTTTCCGCGTCCCCCTCCCGCGCCGGCGTCCCGAGGCGCGGCCGGGCCGCTGCCCGCCGCGTCCCGTCGGGAGAAGCCCCCCCGCTCCGCCGGGCGGCGGGGCTGTCCGCCCGCCTCGCCCCCTTCCTCCCATCCCATCCCATCCCTTCCCTCCCCACCGCTTCCCTTCCCGCGCCGCTCCCCGGTGCCTATATATAGCCGCCTCTGCCCGAGCCAGCCGGGAGAGCGCTCTGTACCTGCAGGAGAGCGCGAAGACGGGATAAAAGCCGGGCAGACGCCGGGAAGGAGCTGGGCAGGCGGCCCGGCGGGGCGCGCATGGCGGGGGCGCCGCCGGGGGAGCCCG